ATCTGTACTAAAAACAGACTTGGAATGCAGTGCAAACAGTTTATTAAGGGGAACATGAAGCTACACTTTATCCCAAGTACTGAGAGAGCCCTACAGTTTCCTGTCCAGGGTGTACCATGCTTTGTGCCTTGTGCGTTGCTTGCCGGGATAGGCTCTGGCTCTCACTCAACCCTGAAATGCAAGAAGCAGTTATAAAATGAATGGATGGGTATAGCAAGGAATCTTCTGATTCTGTGGTCTGGTCAGAGACCACAGCGAAAGTGAATGAAAACACATTCAGGAAAAGGGAGAGTTACAAACAATAAAGCCTAGTACATATATGTTCTGTCAGTTAGCATTATGCCAATACCTGGTGAGGTGTCTGAGCCCAGAACAGGTTTTATCTTCTTTTTAAGGAAGACATGCAATTTGTTCAAAGTACACACATAGGAAAGAGACAGCAGGCCCATCCTGAATTCATGTAATTAAATAAGCTAAATCAATATAAACAGTTCTTTAGTTTATAGTATTTAGTATTTGCCAGATATTTCAGTTTTGGATAAAAAAGCATCTAACCGCAACAGTATTACTTCTCTGTTAAAGGCAATCATTTTATTACCTACATTTTCATGCAGGTAAGCCTATATCACCTATGGATGCTCTATCATTAAGGGAAACAACCATTTATACTATGATTGCACCCATAACAGATGCTGTAATTTCCCATCCAAATAACATCAGGAATAGACCTGAATTGTTACACATTGTAAATAGCACCCACAAATACAATCTTAACAAATGATTTTGCTTTTTTGCCATAATACTTAAGAATTAAACTGAGATTTAACTAACTTATGAGAAACCACTGATACCCAAGGGGTACAAGCAGGTCCAAATATCCAATTATACTTTGGGATCAGAAGGTTGAAATATCTCTTTGCATTAAAAATAAATAAAGGAGAAGTTGTGATTGTCGCGGTTTTGCACGGGGTCGTGCCCCCCGCCACCCGTTCTGTCCTGCAGCACCTGGGGCGCTAACCCGGGTCTCTGGTGTAACGCAACAGGGAACCAGCCGCATGAGCTAAAGGAGACCTCCCCCAGCCCGGGCAGCTGAGGTCCCCGCTACGCGCAGGGAGGGCGTTGACGTCACCGTATCCAAACTAGCTCCACTACAAAGTTTCTGAGGATGTATCATGAAAGGTGTTGCATAAAATAAAGATTATTATCTGTGTTAACAAGTCTTCTTGAACCAAAAGACAAAAAGAAAACTGCTTCCTAGGATGGTAGGTTTCTTCAAATGTTTTTTGTAAAGCTGCAGGAGGAGTAAGTTAAAAAAGAATAATCTGAAAGTCAAAGCATCTAATGTAATAATTGGTGAGGTAATGCATTGTTCTCCAAAATTTTCATATGTGTCTTATGATTGATTTGCACATATTTCAATTTTCCTGCTACAGCATTTCATTCAGAACTCTGAATTTTCATCAACTTCAGGTTACAGAAGGACTCAATGCAACTACTGTATAAAATGTTAAATGTTATGTGACATTTGAGGGTCCTGAAACTCCTACTGCCCAACAGTGAGAAGGGTATGAGACAGAAACAATTTCTCTTGTGTGTGCATATCATACTGATCTCTCTCAATAATTGTGCAGAAAGTGAGGACATACAGAGAATGGAGCAGTGCTAATTTGTTTCTCCACACTGCTCCACGTCTCCCTGATGGGGAGCCTGTTAAAAGCCTTTAAAATATTTTCAAACTAAAAGCAGAAGGACCGTCAGTATCCATGGAATTCAGTGACTATCGACATGGTTATGACAAAATAAGAAACGTTTTGATGAAATTCAAAAGTGTATTGCTAAATACTCTCTGTATATTGTCATGAAACACAGTTGACTCACAGGAAGCTGCACCTAACAGCAACAGTGGGGTATGCCATTCTTAAAGACCTGCATGCTCTTTAATAATTACTTTACCTCTAGCTGCAAAGCCATGTACATTCCACTATGCGTCTCAGAACTGTATTTCCCAGAAAGTAATGAGTGGACAATAGATTTTTAATCTTTTTTAACAAAGCACAACTGTATGCCATTAGAGAGTGTGTCACGTGCATTGCTGAGTTATGGCAAACATACAGTAGTTCATGTTTTCTAAGAGGCCGAGTGTTTGATCTCTGTTTGTGCCGGAGGAAAGACTTTGTGTGAAAAGACTTGTGAAAATTGTGCTTAGACCTCTTTAACTATCACTGCTGGTTCAGAATATATACAGTATAACAAACATATAAAGCACTACTAAGGCTTATTTAGAATATTATAAACGTATTTGGTCGTCACATTATAAAAATGGGAAAAATGTGTTTATTGTGTGAGTGTGTTTGGACGTTTGTCTGTGCGTGCCCTGTGATAGAATGTCATCTAACAATGTGTCGTTTTGCATTATTGCATTCTTCCTGTGTGTGGAAATTCGTATTCTGGATGACAAAATCAAACAAGCCCAAACAACTGTGATGAAGTGTTGCAATACAAACAGTATCAATAGTTTTACAACATAAGGAAAGTAAGACCTAGTAACAATTCATTTTCTTTTTTATTTTAATGTCACCCTCAACATTTTTGTGTAGAATCCAAGCCTGAAAATATTTAAAAGCTCACAACCTTGAGTGTCTTACAGATTTCATAGTTCTAGTACTGAGGAAGGAACTATTTTCAAGTCAAGGATATTCATTATTTCTTATCACAATATGTTTTCAAGTAGTATCCAAATCCTCCCCCCCCACCCCGTTCACAACTCCTTTGTTCCATGATATTGTACATACTGTAGATGTGCCCTAACTTCTCCAAACTAACAGGAAAAGGGTGTGGTGTTTTTTCTTTTTCAAAACAAAAATGTCTAGAACTACAAATTACTGAAGCTGCTTGTAAATTCTTT